CAGGACTGACTGCTATCAGCTGGAAAAGGTCCAGTCCTCCCCACCATTATCCCAGAAGAAGTATGTGCAGTGAAGCTCATCCACTACAGGACTGTTGTGCAGAAGGAGGGTCCTGAGAAACCTCAGTGGGATCCACCACGAGACCCACCTGAAGGGGGTGCAGCTTGACTTGCTGCTAGTGCTCCCGCACAGCTGGATTCAGCTCCAGGAAGGCTGCTCTGCTGCAGCCTCACCAAGGCAATCTCCCTCTCTGTCAACTGGCTCCCTGAAGACACGATAGCTTGGACACAAGCGAAGTGTGAAAATATTTTCCTCTGCTCATTATCTAGCAGGGTTAAATAAACTAAGCGGGGTTAAATAAACTACTGAGGTGGTATTTAATAGCAGATTTCCACTAAATGTCAGACCTCTGACTCTGACATCTGTTTTGAGTTAGTACAGCAGCTGCTTCCAGCAGCTGCAGCAGTTGTGAATTTGCTGGGAGCAGCAAAGTAAAGGCGGGAATGGATGGGAAACCTTGCAGATTTAAATGAAAGAAACAAGTCCTTAAGCACAGCAATCATCAGGTATTCAGCAGAATTTTCCCCTCCTGAAATTAAACAGCTTTTAGCACCAACAGTCAGCTGTGCAAAGAGCACGGAGGACCTGTTGTACTTGTGAGATGCTAAGGACTGCTGGAAGGTTGAGCTGAATTGCAAACAACACTATAAAAGCTGTAACGGAGCACAGGTTACTTCATGGGGATCTGCTCACAGAGGCCTATGACAAGATTAGATTCGTACAAGCTTCTCTCAAATCAATTCAAAATAAATGCTGCCAAGCCCCTCTGCCCTTTTTAATGGGGTATGTAGAAAAAGCTTAGAAAAATCCATAATCAAACTGCATCTATCTGCAGGTGAGTGAAGATTAACTGCTGCTATATTTTAGTTTTTTTATTTTTTTTTTCCYGGAAGACTAAAATAAGAGCTTTTATCTGCTTTAGGAAACTATCTCACAACCTTATAAAATCTTATTCTCCACATGTTTTTGATGATGTCTAAACTAAATATTTCATTTTTCATTTGCAATACTGTKATGCTTAGTTGCACCTTTGCACACTCCGGCACAGAAATTCACTCCTTTTCTCTACTTGTTACTTATTCAGTTCTTTGAACTTTTCTCATAAATTGAAGTCTCCAGAGCCCAGTTTGCTCGTCATATTATTCCGAAATCCTCCAATTTGTTGTTATCTTAATGGTAGGTAGATATCAGAATTATATTTCTGATTCAGAAGGGACGTCACTCCTTACTCTGTGATAAGSTGTGGTTCGACATTTAGCCTAAAATTTAAATTGCTTCTTTTTATAGGCCAAATGGCAAAACTCTGTTTCATGTATGACCTGTAGCTTCCCAGGCCTTTTAATACATTCCCAGATTCCTTCCATTGATGCTACACATACATTTCAGATTATCTGTATGGATGTTTTCCGGTACTTGGATCTCATTTTGTTTTTCTCTTCTGATTTTCCATCAAGGTTGGTTTCCATGAACCCTACATCCTTTGCAGCTTCTCCCAAACTGCACGGTCCACAATGTCAAAGCAGACTTCTTCTATGACATTAGTATAGAAGTAAACAGAGCTATTTCTAATACTGATCAATTCTCAATTTAATCTATCTTTCTTTTAGTTTCACTTCTCACAGATAGTATGCGCTGCATGTGGCAGCTGGCACAAGCTGTTTGAATTCATCCTCCAAATARCATTTCATAATTTCCTGTATGGAGATGTGCTTCTGAATGGCAAACCGGGATAACTGAGTTTCTTGCCTCTGGCACTCTTGTAAGTCAACTTACTAAGAATTAATACAGAAAAATCTATTCTTTGCAGATCTGTGCTCACTGCTTTTGTGGGCTCATTGTTCTTTTTCCTCCATCTGCACTAATAGCTTGCAATTTGATGCAACCTGTAGTGGAAAGAAAGAAAACACTGCAGCGCTCCTCCGTGTGCCGGCAGCAGCTCCCTTTTCAGGCTGCTTTGCCAGACTGCTTCAGCTCTTCTGCAGTTACACTTTGACCATTTAATACACATTGGAAATCTGAGATATAGATTTCCATGTCTTAAAAGCAAACCAGCTCCTGATTCAGCGTTTTCTTGCAACTAGTCAGCCTCGCTTCCTCTTCCCCTTTCTGCATGTTCATGAACCATGAGCAGAAACTGTGATACTATGCAATCTGACTGAAGGGAGCAATGACAGGCAAATCATCTGTGGATATAAGCTCTGTTTATGCAATGTCCGTTGAATATTGGTTATTCATTAAAATGGGAATAGAACGAAATTTCTGTAATTGAAATTTGCATAAAACCTCAGCAAAATCGACAGTGTCAGGAGCCTTCTGATTCATGTGATAGATGGAAGGCCATGTGAATTGCCCCTATGACAAATTAGTTTTCTTCAAGAGAAGGTCTGACCCTTCCTATTCTTCAGTTAAAAGCAATTAGACAAACCCTGCTGGGTTTTGCAAATGCCCACGACTGTGTCACAAAGAACAGGGAAACCTAATGAAATGAGGTGCAACCTCCTCGAGTGAAAACACCAGATAAACTTTACAAAAGAGTGAACGACTTTTTCTCTGAGATGGACTGATCTTATGCTGTGTAGCTAAAGAGAATGGAAAGAATAGATTTTGTAGATTTAATCAGGCCAAAAAGAAAAGTTCTGTATGAAGCCTGACCTATCTGACAGACGATACCTCCTACCTACCTGCATGAGAAGCCCTTCTCCCCCTGAGCACACCCACTTTGCTGGAGAGGACAGAGGATGACGACTGCCCAGTGAGACGGTCCCCGCTCTTTGCTTGCAGCACCACGTGCAGCTAAAGCAGATTTTGCCCTGTTACTCAGGGAGCAACCTGGGAACCAAGAGCGTTTGTGTTGCTGAAAACTTGCCATCAGCAGCGTGCAACTTCCCCGACAGGGAAGGTTACAGAGTCCACGAATGCYAAGAAATGCAGAGAAGTCTCTCTGCTCTACAGACCAGTGATAGAAAAATAAAGGTATTTTACTGTTAAGCAGGGGGAAGCTGGAGTTCTCCGCATCAGTTGATCTGTGGCAATAAATTGTTAGCTGAGCACACTAACTCCCAGTCATTTCTATTTGTCTCAGCAGGAGTTTGTCCCAGCCAGGAAAAGCCACTTTTCCATTTTCGCTTGCATCCTCTCTTCATGCAGAATGTATTTCTTGCAATCTTTTTTAGTAATGTTTGTGATCACATAATACACTTCTAGCATAGGTAGTGAATAGAGGAATGAAATAAAGGAATGCATTCATTCTACTCATGTAGATTATTGTCCGCCACTGGGATGCAGATACAAGAAGTTACAAGTTTTTGAATTAATATATTAACTAAGGCTAAAAAAAATTTTTTTTGCACTGGGCACTGGATAATCTGTCATTCTTATTGACAAAAGATTGTACTTTTCAATAAAAATAAAATTAAAACCTTTTTTATTCTTTGTTGGCAGGGGGTGGTATCTTAGGGACTGATCACTACCTATTTATAGAAGACAAAATATTCACCGTATTTAGATAAATCATTCATTAATTGTTCTTAAAACTGCTCTTACTGTACTTTAAGTCAGGCTTAAAAAAAAGCTTTGCCAATGTTGTTGGCTGTGATTACGAATTAGGTACCACACAGAAGGGTGAGTATTTTAACACATGGGCATCTGTAGCTAGATTCATATGACAATGCAAGATCTCCTAAATATATTTATAAAAATGATGATCACTGGTAAGAAAACACCATATATTTGAACCTTGTGTATACAGCAACWTTAAAACGTAAGTCCACTTTTATCCATGTATCTGTATTTCAGAAGTATTTTCTCAGTTGTCTCAGTTGACTAATTTCTAGTTAAAATGAAGCCTGAACACATTTTCTCATGTAATGCTGAGATTATACTAGATTTCTTTTGTGAATAATATTTTTCTCTACCGTTTTCTCTTTTGATTTATAGTAGTTATGCAGCTTTCCTATCATTTCTCCACTGTTCACATACGCCACTGAGAGGTGAACCTGCCTTTAAGTCAAAGGATGGAAAACGCTGTCCTGTCACTGAAAGTCTAGCGTGATGGTTAAGACACTTCTCTGCTAAGGAAGATCCTTTGGGTGACACGTGCCACCTGAAGGCGGCCTGCAGGAGTCTGGGTGCCCATCTCACCCCCTCAGTAGGGTGCAAACAGACACCAGGACTTTCTTTTGCAAAGAGTTTTATGTCTGAGCCTTCTTCCACCTACAGGGAGCATCCTAAACATCTCCTGTTAAGAATCTGAGCAAGTTTTTTCTTGGTAGCAGGGCTCAAAAGATACCTATTGCAGATGGAAAGAAAACAAAAAAGGGCTGAAAAACGCCAATTCCAGTAGTACTAATGCTTATCCTTAGGAAACAACAACAAGAGTGCACATTAACAAAACCAAACCACAAGGAAATGCTGTGCCTGTACATCCAAGCAACCAAGCAACTCTTTTTCTTTTTCTTTTTTTTTTCCTCGATCACTCTGGAACTAAATGCTCAAAGTTTGAGAGTTTTCACTCCAAGCTTCAGTGTTATTCCAAATGGTATTTCTTTGGAGAAAGGGGAGAGAATAAGGAAAATGTACTGGGACATGTATTATAACCAAATCAGGAAGCAGACAGATTGAAARGGAATAAGCAAAGGAAATGTCCCAGAAAGGAGATTGTTTCATTCACACATCTAGCAGCCTCCACCTGTGGAGGGAGCCTAAGATACAAGAGGTGGAGTTTATTTCTCCACTCTAAACGAGTCAGACTTTTCTACGTATACGACTTACATGAAAACAAAGAGCAACAGTAAAACAGAACCGAAAACCAACTCCAATGGAGGAGCAGGAAAAAACAGACAGTTTTTCTTCTGCTCTCCCCCAAACATCCATGACCTACGTCTGTATTCAAAAAGGTGCCCCCTCACGCACGGGCAGGTGCCCTGGGCACCAGTGCTTACCTCTGGTGCTYGGGAAGGAGTTATTAAGCTGCTCCATCACCTCCTCCAAGCCTGTGCTTGTGTCCTGGGGAGGGCTGAGCAGCTCATCCTCACCTGCAAAGCAAAGCCCCAGCGCTGCGTCATTTAGCCAGCAGTTAACAGCTCAGTCCTGCACACGTGCTGCACGAGGCTAAGGCTGTTCCCTTAAAACATACTTTCTCATTAATATACAACCGAATCTGTGAAGGTGAGTTTTGGTGCCTATAATGTTTCTCTCTCTTTTTTCTTTTTCTTTAAGAAGCTGAGTAAAATTAAGTAATTATTTTAATCATAAAACTGATTTAAATATATCAAGAATTTAAGAAATAACCTATTCCAGTAAAAAAAGTGGGGTAAGATGTCTGCTTAGGAGCACTTAGTTCACATAAATGACAGTTTTGCTTCAGCTTCTCTTACTTTAGTAATGGCATGAGAAATTGCTGTTTTGAGTTCTGCTATTGAGSAGCTTTTTATTAGTGCTGGATTCGTGTTAGCAGTGCTTGGCCTAGCCGGGTACATCAGTCGAAACCAGGATTCTCATCTGCATCAGTATTAATATTTCTGACAGTTTAACTGCATCAGATTGGTGCTCCAAGAACATTCAATTGTACTGTAAAAAGGGTTTAGCCGCAGTTTAATAAAGCAGAATACATTTCTCCCACTGAATAATTTCTATGACCTGATTATAGGGCAGTTGCTTAATGGGAAATTCAATATATTTTATTTTTACTTCTTTTTGGGCATGATTTCAGATAACCAAAATCCATCTGCTGGTTTTAATGCAGACCCTAGCCTCCCATAGTAATGAAGCATCTGAAAAGGGAGCATATCTAAGGAATATATTGTTGTTTACGAAATTTCTTTTATCCCTACTCAAACACTACAGTGGTTTTGCCTGCTCTAATGGCCACAGAGAAACACATCCTTATTCTGAGAATGACTAATGCCCCTATAGTTCAGCTGAGTCATAAATTACCTAATTTTCGGTTCGCATTAACATTCTTCAAACATTTCTGGTGTTCCACGCCAGGGGAATCTCTACYCAGAGAGATGCGAAGGGGCGCCACGGGGCTGTGTTTACTCCCTGTTATTATCGGGCTCAGCATCTCCCTCGCCTTCGGGGCAGCAGTATCACAAGAATCACCGGCCARGAGTTCATTGACCTACTACCTTTGGCAGCAGTAAAAGAAGGGGGATTAAATGTCTGCGAGGAGCACTTAGTTCATAGAAGTGATGGTTCTTGTATCAGCTGTCTTTATTTTATTAACTGTACAAGAAAGAGCTGTTGTGAGTGCTACTGCTCAGCTTTCTAATCGTGCTGGCTTCACAAACCACAACAGACCGGGTCACTCCATCAACTATATTTGTATCCAGAGTGCCACCAACCTCTGTTGCGTGAGTTAACAAAACAAATGTCACAGTCAAAATTCAGAACGGGACCTCACCGTTTCTAGCCAGGCTGTGCATCAAATCAGCACACCTGCACAACACAGGGTATGTCCCTGCAGMTCAAGGACAAGTCGGTGGTTCCCTGGCCTGGCCAGCAAGAACTSCCCTGGGCAAGCGGGATCGCTACAAACCGAGCTGCACGGACCCCAGGGATTGCCTCTACCTTTATGCTGTTTTTATTTTTTCTCCTTCGAGGATTTTTCTGAGCACTTCCTTATAAATAACATAAGGAAAGATGTTAGACAAGCAGCCCAACAAAATAAAAGATTGCTCTAGACCTCAATTACTGGTCCTAACCCAAGCCAGGCCTCCCTATCCATGTTTCTAAAAATGGCTTGAAGCACCAGGAGGAGCTCCAATGTTTTGGAGGGTATCTGAATGAAGAGAAGCAAGAAGCTCTTGGCTCGCCAAGAGCCATCTCCTTAGCCCCTACTCGACTGAAGGAGGAATGTCAAAGTTGCACTGAAACCCTGTCAATAGCACAGGGACAGGGAAACACTTCACCATCCTTCCAAACACTGTCTCTGAGAATCAAACAGAAAAAAAATCATTCTTTAGCTATATTTTAAATATAAAAGTTTGAGCAGGCTACATGATTTTATGTGTGTTAATTAGTTGATTCCGGTTAATTCTAGTCTCATAAATTAAATRGGAGTATTTGTTTATCAGAAGAAATGAAACGAGGAGTGTGATTGTATTTCTGGCCTCCCAAAGGACAAAGCACGAAACCACACAACTTTTAATGAGATGGCTGGAAATTACTAACGTCCTATCTTTCTTGCATATTTTTAAGAAGTATATGAATATTTATGAAGAAATTCATGACATTTCTTCAGAGAGATGATGCAAATTATTCCACTCATGCCTAGTTTGGATATGCTACACATAACAATGCATTTACTTACTAGTAATATGAGTACAGAAAGATCCAAATGAAACTGCTGTTGACTAAACCTTATTGTGTGTTGTGTGCTCCCTTCTCATTGCAAATATTTAACTTCAGCACTTATATCACCCCCTTTTCTTTTTTTTTTTTTGTAGTAGGGCCTACAGAACCATCTTGCTCTACCAGCACAGAATGACATGACTCTCTGCACACCCACCATGGGCAAAAAGTGGCCTTGAATAAGTTGCTTCTCCCACAACCATGGCACTTCTGACTGACAAGACTACTCTCCCTATTCCCCTTCTTGCTGAGCTAGACTATTTCACTAAACATAATGGAAAGATCCCAWTTAAGCCTCCTTCGTTCTCAAAAATACGTAGTAGAGACTAAACAAAATTTTGTGAAAAGCTGATATCGTGATACCAGTTTGATATCATCAGCTATCAAGCATTATCTTACTGAAGTAATTTAATCACATCATTAGCTTAAAGATGYGCAATGGATGATTGCCTTTTGTTAATAGCAAGTCTTTACTACTTAGTACTAAATACTTAATAATTTCATGATAGACAGGAAATAAGGAAACTGCTACGAACAGTCACTAAAAACACCAAAATCACAATTCCAATCTCTGTCTGCAGAATGTTAATACTTAACCCTACTCCACAACTCACATGACATTTATTATCACATCTGATGTGATATTTAGAAAAGCAACCAGACGAGCATTGCTGGTGTGTGACAGCTCAATCCCACYGTCTTGAACAATGACAGATTTAAAATAAGATCATACCAGTTAACGGGGGAATGATTAATCACACATTGARTCCCTTAGCCATAATTAATACTCTGCACATTTACATCAGTCATGTCATATTTATTAGCTGTAATTCATTCTGAATGAAATAGTTGGCTTTTTTTGTGTTATCTGTTTTCAGAATTCAAGCCTTGGCTCAGCTTTGCCTTTAATGTCAAAATATCCAGGCTACTGCATGCATCATGATCAAACACAAAAGCCTGCACTACATAATGAATATGCAAAATGTAAATAGCCAGCCAGTATCAAAGACCATCACAAATGCCTACTTCACTCTCGTCTGAATGAAAGAAGAGAACGGGGTATTTTCTCCCTTAAGGAATTTTTGCAGAGAAATGGGAGAGAAACTATTTCTGGTGAAAGTCTGAACTGTGTTGCCTTACCCATGGTTTCTGAAGTCTGGCTGCCAACGACACGAAGAAGCATTGGCTGACTGCTATCTGACCTCTGCAAGGAGGTAGAAGGAGAGGACAGTGTGGTTCCATTCACCTTGGCATCTGCCTGTGGCTAAAAAATTGCAGAGAAAGAGAGTTGATTATTAAAAATAACTCCGTACAGTTCCACAAATCTAGCATCTCTCTCTGACCAGCCTTTATAGATGACAGATTTCCTGGTATGTTATAGTTGTTGGTAACACCTCATCCCCTGTTTGGAAGAAAAGCTCCATAAGAGATCCAAAGGAAAGGCCTGAGGACTGACCTGTTCCAGCAGCTGCCTCAGCCTGTGCAGCTGGGACTCCAGCTGTTTGTTGTGATCCTCCAGAATCTGCATCCTGGCCTCCAGGCGGCCCTTGTGCTGCCGCAGCAGTTTGGCTTCTGCAATGAGCTCGGCGTCCCGAGGACTTTGCGGCGAGACCGGCATCATCTCGGGCGGGGACGGCAGTGGGGACAGGCCTTTGTGATCGTGCTGTTGCTTCAGCCGGTCGTATTCTGCTTGCAAGTTTCTGTTGAACAGCAGCATGAAGGGAAAAGCTTTATAAAGCTGAACAACATCACATAAGGTATCAGCTGCCAAGGACACTCAGAATGTCCTTTCTGGCACGTGACATAACACACACAACCATCTATCAGAGGCTTATCTTTATCAGCTGTCTGATTCTGTCCAGGCTAAACCCATGTGGGATTACACCTCACAGACTTGCACGCGGCTGATATTATGTGCATCCGTGACACAAGTTTTATGGGAAAGCTCTTGGATTCACATGAGTTCACAGTTCCCTTTCCAGAGGGCACTAAGCAGAAGAGAGGCAATGCCTCAGACCTCATCCCAAATGGGAGTCCTGGGTTCAAGTCAGACTGCCTGGCATGAATCCCCCTCAGTAATAAATTAGTGCTAACAGAGTTCTTTCCTGCTCAGCTTTAAAATTATTACTATTTGAAATTATTAGCCTAAAATGAAGAAAAGACAATCAACGAGCTAATAGGTTAAACTACACTTGTGAATTCTCAGCTGTAGCTTCCACCTTCATTTGGTCAGCACTACTTAGTGTGCTCGTCTACTGTGACTTTATGACATTTAAAACTTGCTTTTTTAAATACTCRCTCTCCGGTAAAACACTCTATATGATTAATATGACCTACAAGGATCATATTAAAAAAAAAMCCCAACTACCAAGCAATAAGAATACAGAAAGCAAGAAACTGTAACCCTGGTAGGGCCAGCAGCCTGCCAATGCAAAAATAGAACCTTGCAGCAGAAAACACTGTCCACGAGGGAGGCATAATGAACRGCACTGGGAGTTTGTTACTGCTTTCCAGAGGGCAAAGCTGGTTCCACGGGCTCCAGCCTCAAACTGCTTATTCAAGTAGTGACCTAGATTTTTTTTTCAACTTTTTCTTATTAGAGGTTGTGAGAAGAGGCCTTTTTTTGCTAGTTTTGCCTGAAAACCAAAATTCACACGGATCTTTTGGTCTGGAGACTCACAGCACTCACTCAAACCTTCCAATTAAAGTGTGAAACACTTTTAAAGATCCATAATTGTCACCAAAAGTAGAATGAAAACAGTAGGTGTCATTTCACATGGATAAGGAAGCAATATCCACGACAAAGACAGACTATTATCCCTAAGGGGTACCTGTCATATACGACTCTTTCCTCTTCAGACAATTTAAAATGTAAAAGAAAAAAATAAAAAAGGCTAATCCCTTGTAGCTTCAGGTCATTCCATATTTCTGAACTTCCTTCTCTAAAACCCATACAGAGAGGAGACAAGAGAGAACAAATCTGGAGACTGCTTGAGAGCAACTGTTATACATAATTTGTATTCTTTCATTTTTTGACACTCTATGGGAGTGATAAGGATACGAAAAAGTACAGGTCTAGGAATGGGACTGACAAGTTTTTGAAGAATAGAAGCTCCAGAGTTACCAAATGAGAAAAACCTTTGGATGACAAATCAAGAAAGTGCTACAAATATCATGGTTATTGTCTTCCAACTCATTTTTTTTAAATGATGATTTTACATTAAGTAAAGAATTTCTAATCTATGAAAATTATCTGAAAGTAAAAAGGGCCGTACTGGATACTGCCTTCCAAGTGACTTAATGTCTTCTGAAACTTCTAGGTGAATGAACAGGTGAATAAAAGAAACAAGAAAATAGAAATGAGAGTGACAATCATAGAATCATAGAATCCTTAAGGTTGGAAGGGACCTCTAGAGATCACCCAGTCCAACCCCCCTGCACACGCAGGGTCACTCAGAGCACGGGGCACAGGGCKGCRTCCAGGYAGGTTTGGAAGATCTCCAGAGAAGGAGACTCCACAGCCTCCCTGGGCAGCCTGTGCCAGGGCTCTGGCACCCTCACCGTCAAGAAATAYTTTCTYAAGTTCCTGTGGAACTTTTGGTGCCTCAGTTTGTGGCTGTTTCCTCTAGTCCTATCGCTGGCCACCACTGAAAAGAGGCCGCGCCCTGCTCCTCACTGCCTCCCCTGAGGTATTTATAGACACTGATCAGGTCCCCCCTCAGCCTTAAATCACCTTAAGGTGATTTTTATACTGTTATACTGATATACTGTTTATACAGGCTGGATTAAGCTCAGTTTTCCGGTCCCACTTAAACAGCTCAAGCACCCACCAGGACTCACAGACAGGAGCTCTTGGATGGCCAATCTGCCTCTGCATTCCTAGTGCAGCCCAGAACATGTGTCCCTCTCTGCTTTCTCCCCTTGCAAAACKTAGACCAGACCAGACCAGCTCCAGGTCTGCAGGCTGGGACTACTGCTACGCTGTGAGGAACTGCCTAGGTGTATGATAGAGGCAATACTTTACAAACAGCAGATTCAAAGTTTGAAGGGCTCCAAGTGTCATCAAGCAGAATTCCACTTTCAAGAYATGGGAAATTAAATGCATCTTATCATACTTACAATCAGTTACCATGCTTTAAAAAAAAATATACCATTATTGCTCCAACTATCAAGATACATAGAGAAGTCCTTCCATGAAATAAAGAACTAAAAAAAACAACCAAACAAAATCGAGGATCGGAGAGTAATTCATATACAAATGCCTTCATGTCTGATTCAAAATAGTTTAGTAGAAGGGAGTGTTCTTGCTTTATAATTAGAAATAAAATATCTGTGACTAACTTGATTCATTTCACTGGCCAAATCCCACCTGTATTTGAAAAGTGTTAATCTGTGTTAATTTAGYCCCATCTTTTAAGTAGTAGTTTCCAAGTAATACTTCTGATCTCAGCTGAGAACCCCATCCTCACCCTCTCAACGCTTTCTCTTCTATTCTGCTGTTGTATCTGCCATCTGCCTAGCACCGCAGAAGAACAGGCTTATGGATTAAACCAAAGAAGATGTAGCTCCAGTGGACACAGAGAGATCCCTAATGAAGAAAAGGCAACAAAGTGGGAAGAGTGGCTACTAGATTTTATTGCTTGTGTTTTATTCTAGTTTAACATTAATTGTCATTGTCTGGAAATTGAGAGGACTTCAAACTGCAGGGGATTACATAAAACAGGGCAAATCTATCGATTCATTGATTGACCAACCGCAGATGATGACAGAATCAGAATCACCTGACACTTTCTGATCCATCTCCATTAATACAGTGTTGCTCAGTGTASCTTGGCTAGGAGCTGTCTTGTAAGATTCTGAAGACAGGGCATCATCTTTGGATCACAAGTCTTAAATCATTTCTGAGCTAGCAAACGTTCTKATAAGCACTGAAGTTGTTTTAATCTGGACTCAGAGGTATTTTCCCAGGTTTCAATGCTAGAGATGCATCACAGGACACTGTACTCGTGACGGTAGCTCAAGGGTGCCTGAACCATCCAGGGCCACTCAAGTAAAACTTTGAACCTTGGTCTGGAAATGTTGACTTTACTGGGGGACCCATAAATGACTGTCTAAGGTGGTGCTCCTTGGGAATAGGCGAATGACACACACCACCACTGAGTAGTGTTCAAGTGAGAATAAAACCTGTGTTCAGATAGCCTAAATTCCACCTAAGTTCATCAGACCTGTATTTCCCATTGACTGAGGGCTTTCAAGGGCTTAGTATCTGTAAAAACAACTTAAAGCCACACCAAGTCTATGACCTCTGAGCACAAGTCTACCTGTTAACTCTCCCTGTTTACCTGTTTACTTTCTCCTGTTACTGATGCTTTCAGTATCAGTATAAGAGACAAAGATTTCAGGATAATAAGTACAGCCGCCAAAAATCAGAAGTCTCCATATGCTGCTTATACAATCAGGCAGCGATGTCATTTTTGCCTCACCAGACTTCTAGGAACTTGGGTCATGTAACCTGGGGGAGCCGTTCTCCTGGAGACACAGAACACTGTATGGACCTATAGGTGCTTCACTTGAGGTCAAGAATACTGCATTTTCAGCAAGGAGGAACTACCTGTCCCCCCTTTTCCCTGCTGGATAACCATCCTATCACTTCTACCCACCATTAATATGTCCTTTACTCCACAGATAGCAACTACCTATTTCTCTTCAATGGTGTAATTGATGTATATTTAGTCAAAGTCTAAAAACTGCTCTCAATTGGTACTTAGTATAAAAATTTTCCATTTTGATTTTGGATTTGCAGAAAGACTTGCATAGGCAAAAGTGTCTGAGCTTTCCAGTTACAAAGGCAATGTGACTTGGAACGTTGCCTGTGCCTACCAACTATGACAAATCAAAGCATCTTTTGATGGGACACTGCTCAGAATATTTTTCTTTTAAACAGCTCTTCAGAAAATCAACACTGAACTTACTCAGACAAATCAGATATTTTGTGCTGTATGTAATATTTGATACTAAACAACTAAGCTTTAACGGCTTATTCATCTGTGTTAACAACAATGGATCTTGGGCACTGAACTATGATGAGTTATGATGAAATAACATGAATCTTGCGGTTCTTGACTGAGTTATAAGACATCTTCAGCCCTGGATGACCTTAGTACACTGTGCATTGCACATCAGTACAGCTAGGGAAATCTTTACGCAGCCAAGAGCATCCAGTCCTTAACATGAAATCTGCCAACCTGTATGCTTTTTAACTACTTACACCAGCATGGTACAGGTAAGTGGCATATCAAGCATGGTGCCAAAATGCCAGCATCAGGCACTTTAAATGTAGAGGTCTACACTTCAGGTGCCTGTATCTCAGCTGTTTAAGGTCCTTCTATACTTGACAGAGACCTAGATAATGAGGTCTAGAGAATGAGCTACTGCACTTTTATTCTACAGAAGAGATCTAAAAACACATGGTTTATAAGAACCTTTAAAAATTTCTTAGTTGACTGCATTAACCATAAAAGGAGGTGGAGATGGGGGCTGTCTAGCTCACATGTGGACCCTAACACTGTACAGTGCTGTAGGTGGCAGTGGCTTTGTAAGATGGGCAATATGAAACGGGGGTTTGCTGGTCACAAAGTAACTAGCATTGTAGGCAGCCAGACTCAACGTGGTATCTACACATTTATGGCCTCAGTCAACT